TACGCGAATAGTAAATTTCCGCGTACCTACCTGGTACTTGCCTAAAAACAAAGAAGTACCAGACTATAAATTTGGCGTACCTCCGGTACGTTGGTACGCGAATTATCGCACCCTGCCGTATTGCCGGCTTGTAGCCATGATGTATTGTAGTATACTATAGTATACTACCGACAGGCTCGGCTGACACTCGTATTGCATTGTAGTATTGTATTACAGTTAAATACCCTGACTGGTAGCCGTGATCTACGCCGTGATGTATTGTAAATATTGTATTAATCAGAGTAGATACGGCTCCGCTGGTACTGTACCCTTGGCCGTGTACAATGATGTACGTATTTACGCAATCATAAATCGCGCTGGCTAAGAATGACCTCTCTATATATTAATAAATTAACATATTTTCTGTGTAAGACATGGTGGCGCAGGGGAACAACACTCAGCGTGTATGCTGGGTTGTGAGTCCGAATCTCAGCGTGAGCGCGGATGGTTCTCATTTTTAGTGTGGAGTTTCACTTCACACTATTGTGATGGCTGGCGAATTCACACGAATCAGTCAGTCAGGGAGTAAACTTTCCGGGGGGTGTATACGATTTATGTTCGTAGTGATTTATTGTACTTAGTCAGTACTTTGAAGGTTATTTAGGCAATTTCAGTTAACTTATTTACATATTCTGTTATCCTTTTGCCAAGTTCACAAAAATTTCGAGGAATCGCTTTCGTTATTGTAATTTTTTGTAAATTTTAGAACATTCGCTTCTCATGTTGTGTAAAGGATCTTTACCCCGGAACACCCGATTTTTTTTTAGTAGCGCAAATGCGCATGCGCTATCAAGCCGTAGATCACGATGGCGTGACGATATGCTAGGAAGGGGTGACAGTGTTGTTTTCAGATGTATAAAGATTTCAGACATGAATATTGAGTAAATCTTTGAAAATCTACGCAATATATAAATTGATCTTATGCATTACGGGCGTTCAATTAAGTGCCGATAATATTTAGACGGTATATTCATTATACAGAGCTAGGAAGGAGCTAGACCGCCTAGACAGTGCAGTCAAGTGTGTAAACATTTCAGACGTAAATATTGAGTCGAATATCTTGATTCTAGGCATTCATTTAAGTGCCGATATTATTTTCACAGTATTCTCATTATACAGAGGTACAGTACGTGTAGGCAGAAGCGAGACAGTGTTGTTTTCAAGTATATAAACATTTCAGACATGAATATTGAGAAAATCTTTGAGATTCTACGCAATAATAGTAATACAGAGTCAGAGCTCCTTGTATAAATAAGAAAGACGAGGAGATAGCCAACGTGTTATCGCTAATCGCTTAATTGGCTCGCCAACAAGCTTTATGCAATAGAAGAAAAAAGCAAGGAGGTACATGTAGCCAACGTGTACCGTCACAGACCTTGTCTTTGTTTACTGTCTAGCACAACGCCGTTGTCAACGGTGCAAACTCGTGTTCAGTGCAACGATAACTTCTACCAGATTATACGAGAATCAATCTGTAGTATTCTGTACACAGAACTGTATCAAAGCTTGTCAAAACTGCTTTAAACACTGCTTAACTGTGAAACTATTGAAATCTAAAGTGACATTATTCGACACATGCGAAAAGCTGAAAATAGACACAACGTGACACTGGGGAAAGTCAAAGGTCAATGAGACTTGTTATTGTGAAACATGTCACAATTAGGTTAAAATGCGGAAGCGGATGGAGCGGATCCACGGGACGGATATGCGATAAAATACGGAACGGATGAGGATAAAATGCGTCCTTTTAATGATGTAACGACGTAGTGCTTATTATTCATAACATATCTTATACAGCTATTTCAATTATAGTTTTAGATAAATTTAGCATAGCAGTAGCCTCGTGGGGATGCTTTTAGCGACAGCGCAAATGCAAATGAAAATTTAGAATATGCAAAATTTGGTTGTTGGTGAAACAATTTAAATTTCGAATTGTCACGTGTAGCATCACAATAAATAGATAAATTGCATCAGTTTCACAAGGCACGTTTCTGATGTGTTAGGCTTGTTTCAAACGTCACGCTACTCTTGTGCCGAACGTATTAAAAGCAATAAATAATGAGATGAAATTGCCTTTGGTAACTGTTTATTTTGTAGTGTAAGCCATCAGCTTTTCTAGGTTGTGGGCGACCCTATATAGTTCGTGGAGTGTCTTTTTGAATTTGAAACTTCACACTATCCTTGGATCCCTAGTTTTTTCAATTTTCTGATGGATTTTTATGATAATGAAGATATAGTCGGAAAACAGAAGGATGTTATTATGAAAGCTGTTGAAGGAAAAGAAATAAAGAGATACCTACAAAAGGTTTTATTTCGAATAATTAAGCCAACATGCAACTAACTACAATTGTTTGAAACAAAATATGTACAAACAGAAAATATGTGCATGTGTAGAACTGACATGACAACATATTTGGCTTGATTCAAACGTCACGCTACTTGTGTGCTGAGCGTATTAAAAGCAATAAATGAGATGAAATGCCTTTGGTAACTGTTTATTTTGTAGTGTAAGCTATCAGCTTTTCTAGGTTGTCGGCGACCCTATATAGTTCTTGCAGTGTCTTTTTAAATTTGAAACTTCACACTATCCTTGGATCCCTAGTTTTTTTCAATTTTCTGATGGATTTTTATGATAATGAAGATATAGTCAGAAAACAGAAGGATGTTATTATGAAAGCTGTTGAAGGAAAAGAAATAAAGAGATATCTACAAAAGGTTTTATTTCGAAAAATTAAGCCAACATGCAACTAACTACAATTGTTTGAAACAAAATATGTACAAACAGAAAATATGTGCATGTGTAGAACTGACATGACAACATATTTAACTAAATGTATTTTTATTTAAAAGCCTGGATCAAACGGAATGCAAGTCATTGCAAGTTTTGTACTTCTGAGACATGGAAAAGAGTAGTTTAAAAATCACGATGGTGCTTTTGGAAACAAGTCAATCAGATAAGAACATATAATGTGAAATATTCATGATTAGCTGAATATTACAAACACTTTTACAGATGTTTCCGCATGAAACTTTGTATATTAACGTTCTTAGTTAGTTTCATTATCAAATTTTAACTTCAAAATTTTAAAATTGCGATGACTTGTAAATACTTTTTGCAATGCTGTCCATTTTCAACCATTTTAGATTTGTTTTTATTTTGAATTTATAATTTTGTCCTTCCAAACAATCCAGATGCAATGCGTTCCGGGACTAGACCCAGTACCCTGCTCGATTGGGAAAAGGTTAATAAGTGTAAATAGAAAATTAGAAACGGACATGCAGTGCATGCATAAAGTCGATTTGCTATTAAATAATAACGATATAGAATAATAACGCAACAACATGCAACTAACTACATGATAGCCCAAGTATGATTATTGTTCCATGTTTCGCGCACCTATATAGGTTAGGGTTAGGTTAAATTTATTTTGACACAAAGAACAGCTGCAATTGAGGAGAAACAGACAAAGCACCATACAGTGGGCATTTGTTGAAATAATCTCACATCAAAGAAATGGTGGAAGTATTAAATAGCATTTATGAATTACTAAAATTACCTATGTAATCTGTAAACACAGAAAAAGGACTGGCAATTATTGACAATAGAAATCTCTTCTAAAAGTCAAATGATTAATTATCTCATGAAAAATATTATACCTTTGGTGATAAACATGTCATTGACTTGTATTTTCAACATTTTTAGTAAATTCATAAAAGAAATGTCAGACAAATTGTATAATAATATGAAAATTAATTCCTATTCTATTGCTAGTTCCAGGCCATTTTTCCATGCAATGCATATCACAAAGACGGGAAGGAAACGTTTCATTTGGCATTTATCAATCGTAATCCATTATATTATATGCATTGTAAGATATTGTTGAGTTGTTATTTTAGTCTTCCTCGCACTCTATATATTAAAACATTTTTCTGCAAATCCAAGGAACATCTTTTCCAGGAACAGCAGTTAAACCAACACATTCACTGAAAAAGTAAAAACGTAAACACAATAATCTATTTTGTTCAGACACCTATCAGAAATCTAAACTTTTATTTTGCTCTCGTATAAGTTAGTTTAGTCAGCATATCTATATCCAGGATGCATTATTTCAGCGATGTTGAACTAGAATTGACGCTTATTAATGATAGCATTCATTTATAAGTTGTAATAGTTTCAGTATATATACTTACATTATGATACCACACATCACATTTGTCGCATTGGACGCAATCGCATTGATGGACTGTCTTCCTTTTGGCAAACGGGACATTTGTTATTTTCTTTCTTTTTTAGTACTTTCAAGGTTGTCCTAGCACGCTTGCCTTTGGCTTTGTTGCCTTAGATATTTAAGTCATGATGGCCAGAAATGCAATATACATCGGTGTACCCTCTCCACCTTACAGTTTAAATTTTGGACTAAACTGTTGTCTCTAAGTTTAATAAGTTTAGTGCGCTATCCCACTTTGCACTCTGTGCATATAGTATTTTGATTCACAATCTCAATGAAAATGTTACCAATAAATTTAAAAATAGATACGCTAAGCGTACATGTATCTGCTCATGGTGATTGCACTTTTGCCAAGGCTTCAATCAACACTCAGTAGCTTGTAAAAAAATTTAAGGGACTGATTTTTAAATAAAGTTAGATTTATAGTATGTCAGATGAAAGAAAAATAAATGGCTGATATATATTCAACTTGCTGAAACTAATTCCGGCCATAACGTCACAAAGATGATATTCAATTTTATGATGTTCTTGTTGAATCATCTTAATTTTATAATGTTCTTGCAGGGATGGATCCAGCATGATCTGATGGGGTGGGGGGAGGGTACTCTGCCCGCTCTGGTGCCGAGTTGTGTCGGTCATGTGTGCCACCCACCCATCAACTTGCTTCACTATTACAAAGTCTTGCTTGACTACAGTATTTGAATTGTAATTGTTGTTCACAGTTTGCCTATCATCATATTATTACTCAAATTTCTGTATCTCATTTTGTTTCTAATAATTTTTTGTTTATCATGAAAAATAGGACCCCCTCCTGCACCCCCTCTGGCCAGGGCTAGGGGGTGCACACCCCATCCCCCCAGTAAATCCATCTCTGTGTTCTTGTTAAAACATTTCGGGTTCCAAATCTTCTTGATAGTTCATATTAAACTTTAGCAGGCATGCAAGAACATGGTAGATGCATAGAAGTTGTCAGGATAACAGGTGGTGCCAATATACATTGTTGTTCATTGTTGATTAATTGATTCATTGACATTATTGACACTCCCCTGAAGGGGCTTTTCAGTGACAAAAATTACAAACACATAAACTTACTGTATTATTACTACATTAGTCCTAATTAATTTTATTGAAACAGATTACTAGCAAACAAGGAAAATTTCACAAAAACTGCGACAGAGACAACAACAACAACAACAACAACAGTGATGATAACACACCAACAGTAGCATCGACAATGCTTATTGATCAACTACTGAAAAACAAGTACTTAATAACTATCCAGGAATTGCTGGAGAAGTTTATGTCTTAGTTTTAACTTTACATTTTGCAGAGTTTTGGAAGCCTTCTTATACCATAAAATTTTTGATACATACATAACATCAACATTTCTGCTGTTTATAATTGTTTTTAAGTATAATCTATTCCCTTTTAGAAAATGTCATAGTCAGGGTTGATGGCACACAAATCAACTGTTTATGCCTAGTAAATATATCAAATAGGTCATATATTGAAAGTCATTCATCAGCAACAAATGATGACAAGTATGGAAATTAGAAGTATAATTGATGCATATAGTTCTTGAATAGAATGATATAATTCAGCATAACAGATCCATGCAATAATATTTTGTCGTGGAAGAAAATCCACTAAACAGAATATTATGTTAGTTTTGTACATTGTGTGCTATAAATAAGATCCCATTATGACATATGGTTGTTGTTGATTATAAGACAATATAGTATAGGATAGGTGAAGGGGGATATAAATTGCTTAACTGGTGTTCTTGGCAATGACATTCAGTTGCAGAAATCAGGGTCGATGAAGAAGGCAACCTCGTTCCCAGGCTCTTTGCTCTTGGGAAGCAAAGACCCTGGTCGGAGCTGGTCACGTGAACCCCCAGATTTTGGGGGTAAATTGAATTTGATCTCAGGGAGGGGTAGTAGAGTAGTCTGTTTGTTGCGTTTGGAAAATTGCAACTTTATGTGTTATAATTTCGGGTGATAAAAATGTAATTTGCAACAAGAGATTGTGAAAGGAACTGTTCTAAATTCGTACCGATCATGACAAGACTTCCTGCTGTACCGAATGTCATCAATAATAAGTGTTGCGTTACATTTCAAGCGAGAAGCTGGATCATATTTCACTTGCAAGGAAAACCCTCCACACGCGCCTGGCTTGCGAAGTTTAGCACGTATCGCCGTAGAAACATACATATCTTCTACACAGACTGATCGATCAAACGGTATTAAACGAACGATATGGTTCTTTATAGTTGAAGTGTATCCTGTCCGATATTCAAAACAAAAGATTTATTTTATAACGGGATCCTTTGTCTTTGATTTCCCAAACATCGCCAACATGTGTAAACAATAGTACTATTCTGACTGTAAAAGCACAGGATTAAAACCCGTTATGGACTGGCTATAAAATTCATTTCATTTACATTGCTGAAACTCAACGATCAAGAAAGATAATGTCGAAGTGTAGCTAGCTATCTGTTATCACACAAACGCCAAGACTCCTCCGTGCGTTTCCGTGCGTGCGGTACAACTTGAATATCTAGGACGATATATGCACCAGACACTGGTATTGTACTTTATATAAATTATTTCATATTTTTATATACAGTAATTTGCAACAAGTATAATATTAGACCTTTCATTGACATTGGCATTGTCCATTTTGGGCTTTATTGAAGAATAATCCAGCTTCTTTAGACTTGTATAATGGATTAATGCCGCTGTGAGTTAGCAATATTTAAATCAACTTTAATCTTTATCGTATACTGTAATCGACATTTTAGAAGTTTAGTCTGTTTTACCAAACAGTACTGGAGGCAAACAACCTATCTATCAATGGAAACTTTAAAGGGTTGTTACAGTAAAACTCATTAATATAAGCGAGACTTCGTGTGCATATACAGTTTATGAATTATGTATATCCCTGATAAAACGTAGGACACTTTATACCAGATATAATAAAAAATACTTTGCTAAAACTTTTCGGCTGTCATTCCTTTGCATTTAAGGGGAGAGGGTAAATGGCGATAGAATTTATAGGAGATGCTGTGCAATATTTTGGCTTCAACAGACAGGTACTCGTGCAGACAAAAAAGGAAATTCATGCAGTTTTGAATTGTCGTATGTCAGCTGTGTACTGTCGATTTCGAACAATTTTGTACGTTATATTTTGTCTTCCTGGTGTTTAATATAAACGATGATAACCTTAGTAAAAAAATCTAGAGCAATATGTCTATAAACAGTTTTAGAATCAATAGAATGGACATTCAATGTGTATTTGGCTTGTGTCCAAATGTGTCACGTTTAAGACCGGCAAGGCGCTAATCCTACGACCTATAAACAGTCGCTTTTGAGACATCTGTTTAAAAAAATTTATACCGTGTCCATATCAGAACAATTCATTGGCATATTATAAGCATATTATAAATATCAGAGCCAGAACAGAAACGTACGCGTGAATTGACAGTACACCCGAACCGGCGAACTCCGAGAAAATAAAAATATTTCAAAGCGTACAGTCATACGTTCTCGTTGCTTGATTTCCTGAATTTTCTGTTGCTATAAGAATCTACATTTTAGCATGTTTGTATAATTTAAAAGCAAACAGAAACCAATTTAGCAAGTAGTTTGAGGTATATATGATTCTCGAAGATGAATTAGATGATTGTACAGAACGGCCACTCCTTGCAATCGAAGTGCGGAAGTGGAAACATGTAATATGAGACTTTTCCATCCCCCTCTTGGGCTATCAATTTTCAATGGGTCACGTGACCAGCTCCGACCAGGGTCTTTGCTTCCCAAGAGCAAAGAGCCTGGGAACGAGGTTGTGAAGAAGGGAGCACCCCGTCCAGGATATATAGTTAATAATTATGACTGGCTACAACTGTTACTATAAGTATTGATATTCCAATCTAAAACTGAATCTCTGCTCTTTATGCAGCCACTATTACTTTGGCTTTGCTTTAATGAAAGCAATTATTCAATGCACATACTGCTATAAAGTGCTTTAAGAGAAATGTTTCCAATATGTGTGACTTAGCTTCTGACTCTGCTAAATTTGTATAAAAATGATCTATCAAAGTCTGTAATGAAAGCAGACACCAATTGTCTATAGTTATAATCATTGATAAAGAAATTATGTAACCTTACGAAATTATATAGCCTTCTATTGGTTTCATTCAACTAATTTATATTAACTAAGTCACCAATGAAAATGTTAAATTTAGAAGTACATAAACATCAACACTTACAACTCGATATACACCAACAACGGCAACATGTGGAAGAATCATTACTTTCATAATTTCATAATAGTATTCTCAATAACAGGTGGGAAATTTGTCTGAGCATGCGCGAGCAAAATGAGTCACGCAATTGAGTGGAATATACACGCAACGCGTGTTTACAAAAAGGCACAATCGTGTAAATATTGCCAAATGTTTGCACAAAATAAATGACTGTTTTATGTTGAAAATGGACATGATCTAAATTAATCATACAGAATTGTTTAGTGACTTTCTATTTCAGTACCTTGCCATTGTCTCTGGTTCGTGTGCATGCATTCAATCTGAAACAGTTGCTACTTTGCTGTCGAAAAATTGCGAATGTTTACATGAAAATAGAGGCAAGTCATGCATTTTACAACCTCGTAAACTGTATGAGCCCCTATTTTTACGCTTATACCCAAGACATCAAATAAAAATACATGAAACAGAGAATATTTTTACAACGTTTTATCGTGAGGCCACGGCCAGTTTTTAAAATATCTTTATTTCTGTTCCGGTCATCACTAAAACTACACTAAAGCCGGGCTTGAATATACAACAAATTTTGAATCTCATCAAATTCAAAAATATTTAACGTGTAACCAAAATATGCTCACGAAATCGAAATTAATAGCTAAATTTTCAAACTAGACCCTTCTCGAGCCGGTTTTCATAAAGGAAGTTCACATTTCGGCCTTTGATTCTTGGCAAAAATTTGACCACAACACGTGCGAAGCAACTGGGTCTCAAAGACTCAGCTAAAACATTGTGAGCCCCTATTTTCCTGACGATATGTTTGATACCTACAAATGCCGAAAAGATTTTTCTTTTCATTTAGCTATATTTGAAATTGAGGCCACGGGCAATTTTTGAGAAAATACAGTTCAAAGTCAAGCTATTTTTACATATTTTCAAAATTTGTCAAATTTCGCGAGCTTGTATTTTGAACTTAGACAGCTGAAGTTACATTAAGAAACATAGGATGGAAACTTTGAGGCATATAAAGTTAATTTCAACTTACATTTCATTCTCATATCACGTCTTTCTTCGTTTATTACGGTCTTAAACAAGCCAGAGATCGACGTATACGGTATTTACTCCCATATTCACGTCGACATATTAACTTCTTCCAATCACAAAACAAAGAATTCATAGTCGACTTTTAAAAGAATAACCGTTAATTTGTAAATCGTTGAATGGAAAGCAAAAAATCGTCAGCTAAAACAGCTTCTTGCTAACTTTCTGCTTTGTTTTGAATGTAAATGCAATGAGCTTTGTTTCTGCCCGCGATTTTTTGGTCAGCGACGACAAATTTCCCACCTGTTATTCTCAATGCCATTAGTCAATAATTTTCTTGTCCAAAATTGCAAATCATTTCGTTTCCACTGCGTATTAAATGATGAAACCTTTCAAATGCTTGCCAAAAATGCACTAGCGACATTTGCCATATTCAGACTAGTAAAATGACGTTGTTTTAAACTGCATTTGATTTCGTATTTTCACAAATTGCCTTTTGTTTCACACTTTAGTAAGCCGCCATTTTGAAATTAGTATCATTACGTCATTTCATCTATAAGCTGTCGTTGATTGGCTATGAGCACGCTTACAAATTTCCGGTACTCGTACGATGGCAATATATCTGCTTCGCAGATACAATAATTATTACTATTACGCACATGAACTTTCGTGATACTTTCAAACTGCACCATTGTTGGGTTTGATAAACAGTCATAAACTGAGCTTGTAAACTGGTCTGAGCTGCCGCAGCAATTAGCAAATTAATGTAACTTGCAGTTATGGGGGTTGTTATGGATGTTTGCAAATATGTCAAGCTGCTGACTGCCATAGAATCTCCCAAACTGTAGTAGAAGTAATGGTAAGCTAAAAGTTTGTCAAATGGCCAAGGATATAAGGAAAATATTTTGGAGCCTTGTCGTGCTATTCTTACATATGTGATATGACCAAGAAAACGAGCTTGAAGAGAATATGGATCAAGGGATTCAAGGCTATCAAGCATTTCTTTATCTTTCTATAAATAAAATTAGCAACATGGTCTTTATCGCCAGAAATTTCCAAAAATTATGCATTTTCTGGACGAAGTTGCTTGAAGTTGCTGATATCATAAAAAGTTGCTCCAAATACAAAAAGTTGCCAAGTTGTCGTAGATATAAGACAGCCACCTATCAACGGTCATTTTTTATTAGAGCAACTAGAACCTGGAACTCCTTACCCGAACATTTAAGACTAGCTAGATCATTTATCTCTAACGTTATTTAAAAAGTCACTATTAGAATACTACCATAATGCCCTTGTATCTTGTTACGACGTGGATGATGCTCGAACATGGAAAACTGTTTGCCTGAAGTGCAACACATCGCGCAATCTAATCGATGCCGATCCCTGTTGCTACTAGACTAATTTTGATTAGTTGATTTTTTTTTTCGTCTGTAGTTGTCACTAATTTTAACTAAAGGGTCCACAGTAATTGATGTAAACTGTTGTGGTGTCCCCTCTTCTTGTTATGTCTCATCTATATGAATTGTTGTACTTGTATTGTGTACTTTTTTGTCAAGGCGAAGCTAAATAAATAAATAAATAAAAACTTCCTAAAAGGAAAAGCGATAGCCTTTCCAAAGTGCTTATAGTGTTTAGAAGGGTTGTTTTCAGGGGTGATCATTGGAAGCAAAAATTTTCTAAGTATAATATTTTACAAGAAAATGACCATGCACCACCACCCCAGGTAAATTGCTAATTATGCATAAAATAACTAATATGCCTGGCAGAAATTAAATTTTCTTATTTCCTAAAAAAAATTATCATGGGATGAAAAACTATGCTTAATTTAACGTAATTATTGTGGATTTCATAAGGATTGCCATTGTCTTCTCTAAATATAATACATTTTATTTCACTTACCCCCCACGAACAAGGCCGGCGAGGGGGGGGGGATATCCGGGGCCCGGAGTACTGAGAAGGGCCCGGAAATCTCGGTAAAATGTTCGTATCGTTTATCAATTATCATCGCTTTATGTTTATCCTAAATGAAATACACCTACTGGCACGCTATATCCGCTGATCGTCGTGATCGATCGTAAAACGTACCAAATGTGAAATAAACAATTTTTTGATCGTTTTTCTGCAAAAACAGTTAGCCAAACATCGTTTACATCGCGTCTTTATCAGTTATGAGATGAAATGTGGTATTTACCTCAATTACCTGTATTGAACAAATCTATTACTTCCGTCTGCTGCATGGTACGGTAACATCATAGATATGGGTAACATCCATGCACGCCCCCCCCCCCCCAGCCTTCGGCACCGAAATTCTTATGATTAAAAAATAGACTTTGGTGTGACCATCAGCGTGAGAGTCATGCAAGAGGGACGGGTGGGCCATTGCTTACCAATATAATGCGATCATGTTGACGGATTGACCGCGTTATTCGCATGCGTGAAATGACTGGGACTGGCCTGCAGGTTTGGCCATGGCTTCAAATTTTCGGTTGGAGGTAGCGTTTCAGTTATATTCATTTCAATGGACTGGATTGTGTATAAGTAAATATGCTTCATACGTCGGACATATGAATGATGGATGATGCTTTTCAAAACGGAAAGTCGGTCTCGTGCGTCAGTTGGCAACCCTATTCTTCACAGAGTAATAGTAGCCACCAAGATATTATGCGACAATTTTCTTCTCAATTTTCTTATAAAAATAGCCCTTTTCCGTCCAGGTGTCTTGTATTGCTTGGTTTGCATAGCTTGTAAAAAAGCTGTTACGAGCACTACGAAGATCGTATGAGATTATATTAGGAAAGATCGCCATTTTAGTTGTTTTTGTTCGAAGAGAAAAAGCGCAGTTAATTAAAAGTACGTCTCATGAAAGGCACGCCTGTTTCAATCAAAACTGGTAAAATATATACGCTTATTTCAGTTGACTAAAATATGAATTAAGTTGGGCGGATGAAAAGTACGGCGTCTGAACCGGGCCTCGCTGAATTTACCAACTAAGAATTCATTATTCATTTGAAGCATCTTATTTTGAATCGGAGAATTTATTCAGCTTTGACAAGCTCATGTTAAATTCATGACCACACTGGCACGCTGTCTGAACACGGAACCTTTAATCTCTGACCTGTTCACAACAAAGAAAGATCAACGAGACATAACCCAGCAAGATTTTCATATAGAAAACACAAGACAAAAGAAAGAACCGATGTGACTATATTAACTTTTGAGGCTGTAGCAATTGGGGAGCCTACATGATGGAGTTCGACCACGTTTTACGGATCATCGGTGAATTCGGGTCGTATCAGAAACGATTATATATTCTTGTGAATTTAGCCATCATTCCCGCTGCTTTTCAAATGTTAATGAATATCTTTATTGCGAGGGAACCTCAGTGGAGTTGTTCTGGTTTAAACTCTACCCAGACTTGTCCCACAGAAGGACAGCCGTGTGAGACGATACGCTATACATCTTCATACACATCCATCGCTTCTGAGGTAAACTATAAGTAAATTCAATTAAATATTTAGTCGTAGCAGTTCCACAATTTGCTTTGCTGAAAGGTTTCTGTTGTCTATACTATAGTAACTTACATATTTTATTGAATAATATAATTCAGTAAGAGTCATAGATACAGTATATATAGGTTTGTGCCTTCAATATTGTCATAAAAAGATTAAATACTTTCAATATTTGTTACGCGTCTGAGTGGAATTAGGAAACAACATTAGGACGTGCTAATGTATATATATATATAAATATATATTATATTAAACTTTGCATAAATACGTTTTTATTAATTTGTGATTTCATATCCTGCTGTGTTGCATTTGATAGAACTGGAAGACCCTTGTACGATTTAAAATCCATAACCTTAATACTCAGCTTATCTCTTTATGCTCAATGTTCCCAAGAGTTCACTTATTTAAAGGCCGATTTACACTAGACAACTTTTACCTAAAACCGTCGCATGCAACCTGCTTATACAACTTGAGTTGTACTGTGTAAATCAAGCACACAACATTCACTTACGACAACGTTTTAGTATCACAGTACAACTCAAATCAGTTGTAATCAGGTTGCATGTGACAGTTTTAGGGAAAAGTTGTGTAGTGTAAATCGGTCTCAATCACGATTCCTGCAAATGCAGTCAGCTATGATATATTATTATATATCCTTGCTGAATCTATCTCCATTTTCGTGGCGCAAAGAAAATTAAAATAAGGAAAGTTGGTAACACATATGCTATAGAGTATATATATATATATATATATATATATATATATATATATATATATATATATATATATATATATATATATATATATATATATATATATATACATTTACAAGTTCGCGTTATATTTTTTAAGCAAATATTCCACGTATATATCTAACATAAACATTGTCAGTGCTATTTAAGCCTGCAGACCCTCGTGTCAGACAATGAATGGTTTACATAAAGACATTTCAATAAGATTAGCATAACAAATTAGATATAGTTGTATAAGACCCCAATTACTGGATTCGCTTGTCACGACATCGAATTTAACGGTTTCAGGAATATCTTAATAACACTTAAAATTGCGATCATGACAAAATAAAACGAACACTGTTATAAAAGGGGGGCATTTTGTGAACAGACCGATTACTCCCGAAACAGCATACAGTATGCATGCTGATGTCGTAAAAAGCGAATCCGGTAACCGGTTCAACTGGTGCCTAAGTGTCTTTGTGAGAATGACAGTCAACTTATTGAAAGTTATGAAAGCCTCATTTGTGGTCTTTTCTATAGCCTTTAAATAAAAAACCAGTACTATACAGTATATAGGATATCTGTTAGACTAAGTATAGTTCTTTGCTAAACTTAAAATCGCTTTAAAAGCGGTTCCATCTTTTGGCTTCGTATATACGACTTGGAAAGCGAAATAATACAATACTGAAGGCGTGATTCCATGACGACGGCAAATTTCTTCGCTATACGTCTGCGAAATATACGGATGGTTGCACATGAGCCATTCTATATTCAAGTTTTCCACGTTTTTCCGCCTTCGCAGTGAGTAGAACTGACTTCTTCACTGGTAAAGCGAATCCGTTTTTCTCGCGGAGCCTAAGTTATCTTTACTGCACATGCACCTAATTTATTCGCGCGACGTTTTTCGCATTTTGCCGAAGAAAGCGCCCGTGCATGGAATCAGGCCTTAAGGAAGCTTCGAATTGATAGTTGTACAACTACCTTAAAAACAGAAGAAGAACTTTGAGCGAAGACCCTAATTCCTCGGGCTACTTACTTCCAGACGAAGGACCTTCGCTCGAAACGTCGAAGTTCTCCTAGTGTCGGTTTTTCAGAAATTCAGGTCGGGTAGTTGTATCCATATCCAGGGACGCCGGAACGATAAAAAAGCAAAGGGGGGGGGGGACGCACATCAAATGGCACCTTTATAGGTCCCGGTGAAGATATAAACCTACAATAATGTGTTGACTTGCCAATTGAAAGAAAACGCACTAATCAGGTCACATTCAAGATCACACCTCATGATTTTTCCCAAAAAGCATCACTGGAAATGTGATTTATAAGGTAGTATTTTACAACTCAAAGGGCACTTCTGCCCCCCCCCCTTGCCCCTCCTAGCAAAAGGCAAGAGGGGCAGCTGCTCCTCCTGCCCCCAGTTCCGGCGTCCCTGTCCATATCCATCCGAAGCTTTCTTATTATTGGCACTACCTATACACTGGAAGAGACCGTGTGCAAAAAAATAGTTGAAAGGAAAACGGAAACACTTAATTCAATTCATGCAGTTCAAATATTAACAGAAAGTCATCAGATACAGTAACATGCATGGGAGCAGCATTCATTCGACTGATATTTACCATTCTCATTCATTTATTTCATTCATTTTATGTCTGAAAAAAGTTGGCGGAGTGTTATAATACGGGGCAAGTTCTCAATTCATTACACCTGTCTGCTGCCGTCTGTATATATAGGTTTTACGTAAATGCCATATTACACTAGGCAATTTCTGCTGCCACTCATGGCAACGTAATTTCGGATAAAGAGCCTATATCTAAGAAGAGACCGCATGGAAAATGTGAGAATGGCCCGCATGCTATACAAACATAGGTTATTCACCGATAATAACCTCGCTTTCGGCGAATAATTGTTAGATAATTTCGTAAATGTCTCTGTCTTTAACAAGATCAAGGACTCTAAACCCAGTATCTCAACTGATCCCAAAAACCGAAGCTCTATAGCCAAGGTAGAGTACGTCTGGATGGGTACATAGAGCGTTTGCACATGAGGTCACAGCCCCCATGTTTATTATATTGGTGTTCCAATTCAAAATAATTTTAATTAATTAAACTCTTTTGTCAGGATTAACACCAACATGGTCGCCATGGGTTTTGTCGAGTTGGTCCCTGGGGAATTAGTGCAAACGCTCTATTGTAGTAAATTATTGCTACATTATGTTTATGGGTGTATGGGGTAAGGTCAATAGATAAATAATCCGTACTAAATTAAATTTTACTTATTACTTTCATTTAGTGGAACCTGATATGTGGAGATGCTTACAAAGTGGAGTTGTCTCAGTCTATATTTATGATAGGGGCTCTAGTTGGCGGTCTGGTACTAGGAATGTTTGCTGATAAATACGGCCGCAGACCATCTTGGTGTATATCATATATACTTATGGTACTTGGTGGTGTAGCAACTGCATTCTCGCCATCTTTGAATATTCTCTATATTTCTCGTCTTGTGGCCGGTATTGGCACGGGTGGGGCACTGCTCAGTGGATTTGTGTTGGTCACTGAACTCATAGGACCGTCATACCGTGGCATAACTGGAGCGTTATCTTCGTGTTTTTTTACCTTCGGACAAATGTTGCTGCCGGCTTTCGCATACTTCCTTCAAGACTGGCGCAAACTTTCATTCATTTTGTCTTTAGTTGGTGTTATTTTTACGTTCTTTATAAGGTTAGTAAAACTCTGTTATATTAGTCTCCACACGGAGCCTCCCATAGTCATAGAAAGGTTATACGACGCAAATAGGAACACTTTTTAACAACGTGTCATGGCAAGCTCACATTGTCACAAGGTAGAAAGCTGTTTGGCACAATGCTCGAAGTAGCTCATTTCTCTATATCATAAACAGCTAGTGCATAGCACTGCAGTGAACGTGTTAGTCAATCGCAAAAGTCCAATAAACGAACCCACCCGACTAAGTAAGGGAAAAATGCTGACCCTCAATCTACAATCATAGACAATTGACAACATGCGGACGCTGATTAAAAATGGCTGAAGTTTAAGGCAATCAAATAATTATACGCATATTCAGCCGTATTATGGTCTCACACAGTCTCAATATGATAGGTTACAAAGAGTTCTCAATGCTGCAGCACGTGTGGTCTGTCTAATCCCCAAATTCGATCATATTACTCCCGTTTTGATTGGCCTTCATTGGCTTCCTGTACGGTATCGGGTGATTTTCAAGATTTTGTTGCTGGTGTACAAGGCTCTTCATGCTAATGCACCGCCTTATATCTCAGACCTTCTGACACCTAAGCATATTGGTTGCTACAGCCTGCGCTCGAATGAGCAATATTTGCTAATAGTTCCTAAGACAATGAGGAAAACGTTTGGCGACAGAGCTTTTGCCAAGGCTGGTCCATTTTTGTGGAATGAACTTTCCGCTGACATTCGTGAAGCGTCAACAGTGGAAACTTTTAAAAGCAGACTTAAGACCTTTCTTTTTAAAAAGGCATTTTATCTTTAAATATAATAGTAAATTTGAACTTCCCGCTGACATTCGTGAGGCGTCAACAGTGGAAACTTTTAAAAACAGACTTAAGACCTTTCTTTTTAAAAAAGGCATTTTATCTTTAAATATAATAGTAAATTTTAAACATGTATATATAGGTATCATCTCATAGTTTATAACATTTTATTTGAATTTGTAATGATAGCGCTTTAGAATATTTATAGTTTTAGCGCTTTATAAATTAATAAATTATTATTTATTTATTATTAATTGTGCTCTAAGATTATATGTGAGAAAGTTGGCTTTTGTTAATACACTACAGTACTACACGAGAAGTTAATTTCAACACTATTACCAGCCCAAAGATGTAGAAACATCAGGAAAGCGTAAACTGTTAAGGTTCGGTCACACGGAGCGACAAGTCGCAGGGGCATGTTGCAGGGACATGTCGCCCGAAACGAGTCACACAAAGCGACAATGCTAGGCGAAAACAAGTCGCACAAGCGCTTACAGGCGCGTGGTCACACGAGGCGACAATTCATGCAATTTACAATTTACAATTTACAATTTACAATTTATTCAAAAAAACCGATCTTGCAGCCAAGAAGCTGAATTACAACGGTTACATTTTACAAAAGAAAGGTTTAAGTTAATTATACTAACTATTACTGCTTAAAAATACTAAACATAATAAAATAATTGTAACTTTAAGTTAATGGGACTGTCTATTTCAATTAATTAAACTATCAAAGAACTCCCATGAGAACTTATATTGAAATTGAGCGTGCAAGTAGTCATGGGAATGATATTTTGTGATTGGTCGGACTAATTATTTCCCCGCGACTTGTGAACAGACTAGCTCACACGATGCAACAAGTCGCGGCGACGGTTTTTGTC